AGTGTAGATTCTAAACTGTTCAAATCATGACCCCCAGGGGTAGGGCGGGGCCACAAGGGGAATCTAGGTTTTACATAGAAATATATAGGAAAAATTTGAAAATCTTCTTCTCAAGAACCACTGGGCCAGAAAAGCTGTAACTTACGTGGAAGCATCCTGGGGTAGTGTAGAATCAAAATTATTCAAATCATGACCCCGGGGGGTAGGGTGGGGCCACAAGGGAATCATAGTTTTACATAGAAATATATAGGTTAATCTTTAAAAATCTTCTTCTCAAGAACCACTGGGCCAGAAAAGCTGAAACTTATTTGGAAGCATCCTGGGGTAGTGTTGATGCTAAATTGTTCAAATCATGACCCCCGGGGGTAGGGCGGGGCCACAATGGGGAATCAAAGTTTTATATAGAAATTTAAGGAAAAATCTTTGAAACTTCTTCTCAAGAACCACTGGGCCTGAAAAGCTGAAACTTACTTGGAAGCATCCTTGGGTAGTGTAGATGCTAAATTGTTCAAATCATGGCCCCCGGGGAGTAGGGTGGGGCCACATTGGGGAATCAAAGTTTTACATAGAAATATATAGGAAAAATCTTTGAAAATCTTCTTCTCAAGAACCACTGGGCCAGAAAAGCTGAAACTTATTTGGAAGCATCCTAGGGAATTGTAGATGCTAAAATGTTCAAATCATGACCCCCGGGGGTAGGGCGTTTCCACAATGGGGAATCAAAGTTTTACATAGAAATTTAAGGAAAAATCTTTGAAAATCTTCTTCTCAAGAACCACTGGGCCAGAAAAGCTGAAACTTACGTGGAAGCATCCTGGGGTAGTGAAGATATTAAATTGTTAAAATCATGACCCCCGGGGGTAGGGTGGGGCCACAATGGGAAATCAAATTTTTATATAGAAATTTAAGGAACATTTATGAAATTCTTCTTCTCAAGAACCACTTGGCCAGAAAAGCTGAAACTTACTTGGAAGCATCCTAGGGAATTGTAGATGCTAAATTGTTCAAATCATGATCCCTGGGGATAGGGTGGGGCCACAATGGGGAATCAAAGTTTTACATAGAAATATATAGGAAAAATCTTTGAAAATCTTCTTCTCAAGAACCACTGGACCAGAAAAGCTGAAACTTACTTGGAAGCATCCTCGGGTAGTGTTGATGCTACATTGTTCAATCATGACCCCTGGGGGTAGGGTGGGGCCACAATGGGGAATCAAAGTTTTACATAGAAATATATAAGAAAAATCTTTGAAAATCTTCTTCTCAAGAACCACTGGGCCAGAAAAGCTGAAACTTACGTGGAAGCATCCTGGGGTAGTGTAGAATCAAAATTATTCAAATCATGACCCCCGGGGTAGGGTGGGGCCACAATGGGGAATCATAGTTTTACATAGAAATATAGGTAAATCTTTGAAAATCTTCTTCCCAAGAATCACTTGGCCAGAAAAACTGAAACTTATGTGGAAGCATCCTGGGGTAGTGTAGATTCTAAACTGTTCAAATCATGACCCCCAGGGGTAGGGCGGGGCCACAAGGGGAATCTAGGTTTTACATAGAAATATATAGGAAAAATTTGAAAATCTTCTTCTCAAGAACCACTGGGCCAGAAAAGCTGTAACTTACGTGGAAGCATCCTGGGGTAGTGTAGAATCAAAATTATTCAAATCATGACCCCGGGGGGTAGGGTGGGGCCACAAGGGAATCATAGTTTTACATAGAAATATATAGGTTAATCTTTAAAAATCTTCTTCTCAAGAACCACTGGGCCAGAAAAGCTGAAACTTATTTGGAAGCATCCTGGGGTAGTGTTGATGCTAAATTGTTCAAATCATGACCCCCGGGGGTAGGGCGGGGCCACAATGGGGAATCAAAGTTTTATATAGAAATTTAAGGAAAAATCTTTGAAACTTCTTCTCAAGAACCACTGGGCCTGAAAAGCTGAAACTTACTTGGAAGCATCCTTGGGTAGTGTAGATGCTAAATTGTTCAAATCATGGCCCCCGGGGAGTAGGGTGGGGCCACATTGGGGAATCAAAGTTTTACATAGAAATATATAGGAAAAATCTTTGAAAATCTTCTTCTCAAGAACCACTGGGCCAGAAAAGCTGAAACTTATTTGGAAGCATCCTAGGGAATTGTAGATGCTAAAATGTTCAAATCATGACCCCCGGGGGTAGGGCGTTTCCACAATGGGGAATCAAAGTTTTACATAGAAATTTAAGGAAAAATCTTTGAAAATCTTCTTCTCAAGAACCACTGGGCCAGAAAAGCTGAAACTTACGTGGAAGCATCCTGGGGTAGTGTAGATTCTAAATTGTTAAAATCATGACCCCCGGGGGTAGGGTGGGGCCACAATGGGAAATCAAATTTTTATATAGAAATTAAAGGAACATTTATGAAATTCTTCTTCTCAAGAACCACTTGGCCAGAAAAGCTGAAACTTACTTGGAAGCATCCTAGGGAATTGTAGATGCTAAATTGTTCAAATCATGATCCCTGGGGATAGGGTGGGGCCACAATGGGGAATCAAAGTTTTACATAGAAATATATAGGAAAAATCTTTGAAAATCTTCTTCTCAAGAACCACTGGGCCAGAAAAGCTAAGTGTTGATGCTAAATTGCTCAAATCATGACCCCCGGGGGTAGGGTGGGGCCAGAATGGGGAATAAAAGTTTTACATAGAAATATATAGGAAAAATCTTTGAAAATCTTCTTCTCAAGAACCACTGGGCCAGAAAAGCTGAAACTTACGTGGAAGCATCCTGGGGTAGTGTAGAATCAAAATTATTCAAATCATGACCCCCGGGGGTAGGTTGGGGCCACAATGGAGAATCATAATTTTACATAGAAATATATAGGTAAAATATTTAAAAATCTTCTCCTCAAGAACCACTGGGCCAGAAAAGCTGAAACTTATTTGGAAGCATCCTGGGGAAGTGTAGATGCTAAATTGTTCAAATCATGACCCCCGGGGGTAGGGCGGGGCCACAATGGGGAATCAAAGTTTTATATAGAAATTTAAGGAAAAATCTTTGAAACTTCTTCTCAAGAACCACTGGGCCTGAAAAGCTGAAACTTACTTGGAAGCATCCTTGGGTAGTGTAGATGCTAAATTGTTCAAATCATGGCCCCCGGGGAGTAGGGTGGGGCCACATTGGGGAATCAAAGTTTTACAAAGAAATATATAGGAAAAATCTTTGAAAATCTTCTTCTCAAGAACCACTGGGCCAGAAAAGCTGAAACTTATTTGGAAGCATCCTAGGGAATTGTAGATGCTAAAATGTTCAAATCATGACCCCCGGGGGTAGGGCGTTTCCACAATGGGAAATCAAAGTTTTACATAGAAATATATAGGATAAATCTTTAAAAAAACACAGGGCAAGAAAAGCTGAAAATTACGTGGAAGCATCCTGGGGTAATGTATATTTTAAATTGTTCAAATCATGACCCCCGGGGGTAGCGGGGCCACAATGGGGAATCAAAGTTTTGCATAGAAATATATAAGAAATATATTTGAAAATCTTCTTCTCAAGAACCACTTGGCCAGAAAAGCTGAAACTTACTTGGAAGCATCCTAGGGAATTGTAGATGCTAAATTGTTCAAATCATGATCCCTGGGGATAGGGTGGGGCCACAATGGGGAATCAAAGTTTTACATAGAAATATAGGTAAATCTTTGAAAATCTTCTTCCCAAGAACCACTTGGCCAGAAAAGCTGAAACTTATGTGGAAGCATCCTGGGGTAGTGTAGATTCTAAACTGTTCAAATCATGACCCCCAGGGGTAGGGCGGGGCCACAAGGGGGAATCTAGGTTTTACATAGAAATATATAGGAAAACCTTTGAAAATCTTCTTCTCAAGAACCACTGGGCCAGAAAAGCTTAGTGTTGATGCTACATTGTTCAATCATGACCCCCGGGGGTAGGGTGGGGCCACAATGGGGAATCAAAGTTTTACATAGAAATATATAGGAAAAATCTTTGAAAATCTTCTTCTCAAGAACCACTGGGCCAGAAAAGCTGAAACTTACGTGGAAGCATCCTGGGGAAGTGTAGATGCTAAATTGTTCAAATCATGAACCCCGGGGGTAGGGCGGGGCCACAATGAGGAATCAAATGTTTACATTGAAATATATAGGAAAAATCTTTGAAAATCTTCTTCTCAAGAACCACTGGACCAGAAAAGCTGAAACTTATGTGGAAGCATCCTGGGGTAGTGTAAATTTCAAATTGTTTATATTATGATCAGTTGGGTAGGGTCACAATATGCATTACAAGGGGGAAATCTAGTAAAGAACAGAATGGTCAAAGCTTCTCGGGTGAGCGATGTGGCCCATGGGCCTCTTGTTTCAATATAATTTTACAAGCTTGCATAAGAAACTTATTATAACTTTGTTTATAAATTTGGCATATTGGGAAAAGATAACTATCCTCCAGGGCTTAATATACTCCTCGTATTGATGATAAACTAGAAAATGATTTAAAACATAATATAACTGGGCTGTTCATAACAAAATAAAGATATTTTATATTTTGCATAGAATAGTAATTTATTATTATTGAAAACTTTGAATAAGTTTTCGTTTTAGAATATCTTTTTAGATATTCTGGCTAATACTCTATGTGAATAAACATTATTAAGACATTCCCGAAGTTGCAAAAAAAATTTCAGTTCACTTATTGATATATCACTAATTAAGGTTCTAAGGTTCTAAGGGGACATTCACAATATTATAATATGACAGTGAAATAATAACATAATACTGTACAATTGTCCTGACTTGTACTCTCTTCCAGGACATTCACCTTGAAGTAAGGGTTATTGACCTATTCCATGCTTACTAAAAGTAGGAGGAGCCAATTTCATGTTTGTAAACAAAGTCGTATGGCCTTGATCATAACATTTCTAGAGTCATCAAAATGTTAAAGTACATGTTTTTGACTTGCCTTCTTTAATATGTGTTTAAACAATTAAAATATTTCTGGCAAAGTCTAGTATACCTGAGTTCGAAGTAAATATATATAAATTCATCTGATGCCACCAATGAAATCATAGAAGCGAAGAAGGAACTGTGATCTCAGCTATTCCATGCTGGATAACAGTGGGAGGAGCTTAAAAGGAACCCACTAAAACCCAGACCCACTAAAGACCTGACTGACTTGGTCAGTATAAAATTCCTTTACACTCAGCATTTGAAGACAACATTAAAACTTTGAAGATATAATTAATATTACATTTCAAAATAACTTATAAATAAATAAATAAATAAATTAATAAATAAATAAAACTTAACATGTATAAAATCAGAGTACAAATAAATAATTATTGTATAATATTTAAATGATTTTTATAATCTTAAGTAGATTTGAACGGCAAACGATCGATAAAAAAATTAATTAAAAAATAGAATAAAACTTGTTGAAAAGTGTTTGACTTATCTTGCTAAGCAAACATGAAAAAAAAACTGCCATTAAGGTCAATATCTAGTAAATGTCTTTAGGCTAATTATTTGGTGCTATATCCATTATGACGTCATATTCACCGTGCCCTAGCGTTACTATGATGCAATTATTCCGTAACGTATGATGAAACGATTCCTTGTGGAGTTTTTACATGGAGATTTGACCAAGGTAAGTTAATGTCGTATTTGTATGCCTTAAACGCAAAATAGTCCTAATTGTGTTAGCCGTTGCATTGTAGGAATGACACAGGCATCTGTTGACATAACGGACAATGTCCAGTGATGCGCGGTTTTCTTAAACACTTTGCACTTCCATAATAAAGAGGCTTAAAAGTTCGATTTATTGATAGTACTTTTTTCCCAATCAAGTTACAAGATCAGCTACAAGTTTACCATAATGAAAATTCGTTGTTTTTCCATTTAACTCTAGAATGGTGATGAAAATATTTATTTAATCGCTTTTAACATGGGTTTTTAGAAGTAACGTATGATGCAACGATTCCCATCATCAGTAACGTGCGATGCAACTATTTTTTAACAATCGTATTATTAGACCAATATGTTGGATTTCTCTACTAGGACACGTTTCAAAGCAGGGTAATTAAATTACTCATTGCTTTCTTTTCATCACAGAATACCAAATGGTTAAGAAAAAAGCAAAACTTGACTATAGAACGGCTAAAAGAAGAAAGTACAGCAAGAATAAAGTCATTTCATCCCCTTACCCAACTCCGAAAAGAAGAAAATTTTCTAACCCATTTAAATCCAAAAATCGACATGCTGATACCCCAAACAGAAACACTGCAAAAAGTCCCCAGTGTGCATTATTAGAGAATGATTGGACATTGAGTGAAGCCTATGGGCATGCTTTCAACAATTATTTTCCGAAGTATGAAAGAATACTTACGAGAACTGCATCACCATGTGTGCATAAGCTACACTGACTCTCAGTCACCTCGCTCCGTTGATGATATATTTCTTCAACAAGACAACTATCAAAACGATCTGTTGGCCAATGTTTTACAAAAGTTAGATAAAGTTGACTGTAAAAAGTTGGGTAAGGGGATGAAATGACTTTATTCTTGCTGTACTTTCTTCTTTTAGCCGTTCTATAGTCAAGTTTTGCTTTTTGCTCAACCATTTGGTATTCTGTGATAAAAAGAAAGCAATGAGTAATTTTATTACCCTACTTTGAAACGTGTCCTAGTAAAGAAATCCAACATATTGGTCTAATAATACGATTGTTAAAGAATAGTTGCATCGCACATTACTGATGATGGGAATCGTTGCATCATACGTTACTTCTAAAAACCCATGATAAAAGCGATTAAATGAATATTTTCATCACCATTCTAGAGTGAAATAGAAAAACAACGAATTTTCATTATGGTAAACTTGTAGCTGATCTTGTAACTTGATTGGGAAAAAAGTTCTATCAATAAATCGAACTTTTAAGCCTCTTTATTATGAAAGTGCAAAGTGTTTAAGAAAACCGCGCATCACTGGACATTGTCCGTTATGTCAACAGATGCCTGTGTCATTCCTACAATGCAACGGCTAACACAATTAGGACTATTTTGCGTTTAAGGCATACTAATACGACATTAACTTACCTTGGTCAAATCTCCATGCAAAAACTCCATAAGGAATCGTTTCATCAATGTTACGGAATAATTGCATCATAGTAACGCTATGGCACGGTGATATTGAATTTCAACTTTCTTTTCCCCATACTTTACGGCTTAAGCAGCATTTTGTAGAAAATAGGGTATATTCATGAAATTCAATTTGAAATCATAAGAAAAGAAATCCCGATACCTAATAATAGTATATTAATTTTAATATTATTCTAAAGAAGAGGCCATGAACATACAAATTACCGTTTTCTGAGAGAGTGTAGGCAATCTGGATACATTTTCCTTGTCGAATATAAAAAACTACAATATTCCTGACTTGGTTTCTTAATATTATTTTTTTATTGAAAATGTCAGTTTAAAATATGTTTTTCATATTGTTTATCTACAAATTATGCCCTGAAACACCTTATTTGACCAATCTAAAGATGTAAACTTAAGCATCATTAAAGGGATTTATTTCTCATATTTGATAAACCTGTAGGCATCTTTCATTTACTAGATCTTGACCTTAACCATGTTAATTTTTAGGACTCTTAATTTTAAAAAATAATATTTGCTAGATTAGGTCATAAAAGATATCTATATATGTGACATTTCTGACTTTCACACGCAATTTTTCGTTTCCTTTTAAAATTTACTTGGCTTGGTATATTGTTGTTAAGTTTATATTACACTTTCAGCACCAAGCTAACATATTCTGAAATTCATTTTCATATTTAAACCTTTACCGAGTGTAATTTGTCCAAATTTGTAATTTTATCGAACTTTTAACTAATATTTACCAAGTCATTTCATTTTTCAAGTCTAAGGAGAAAAAATTCAAAGAATTATCCACTTTTCTAAACCTATGACATGATATTAAGTCTCCTCCAAAGAAAAAAATGCTTGTATCATCTGTCCTTAAAAGTTCTAACTTAGTCTAATCAATATGATATAACTACATGTGTTAGCTCACTTGACATGGCCTGACATGGTCTGGTAAACGCGAATTATAAGTTGGTTTACGTTTTGGAATTATCTCTATAGGTCGGAAATTCTTTTAAATTACAAAGTAGTATGCCTTACTGCATATAATGTACTGTAATATTTATATATCAATTTGAAAAAAAAAAAAGAAAAAAATATCGGTCTTAGGGACTTTTATGTAGTCATTATATATTTGATCATTTAATAAATTTTCATGAAATGGGCCGATTAATGACAATCAATTTGGTTAAAAAATGTTCCATAATACTTTTACTTCAAGTATTCATGATATAAGGCATCATAAAGAATTAAAGAATTCGGCTTAAAGTCTTTTTCCTTTAAAAACTTAAAAATGATGCTGTTTTGAACAAAATTCGCTGTTTTTAGCTTTAAAAATGATGTTTTAAACAAACTTGTTTTTGTTTTGAACATAAAAATTAAATGCTATTTAAGCACAAAAATTGTTTTTCAGGTCTTAATTAGGCCAGGTCTTTAGTGCAAGCCAGCTGAAAAACATCACGTGATGTAATGTTTACGAAAATAAAGCTCTTCGGCTAGCATCTGTGTTTATCCACTGATCAGATGATTTCACGAAAATTCCAAATGTTTACGAATAATGTAAACTGGGTTGAGTACAAGGTTTGTTTACAAACTTAGAATATTTCTAGCAAGGTCGAGCTAGTGGTATATAAATAAAGGAATTTATGTCCGAAATGGGAGAGAAAAAACACATCATTGGTGTAGGACACTGGGGATCATTGCACGTTGGTGTGTCATTTCTTGTCCGATGGATCAAAGGAGATCACCAGCAATCGGAATTGATTTGGGAACATCATTTTCGTGTGTTGGTGTTTTTCAAAACGGCAGAGTGGAAATAATTGCAAATGACCAAGGGAATCGCATAACACCAAGTTATGTTGCTTTCTCGAACACGGGACGCCTCATTGGAGACGGAGCCAAAAGTCAGGTAACTATGAACGCTGTAAACACGATTTTTGACGCAAAACGATTAATCGGACGCAGGTTTGATGATGAGCACGTGCAGACAGACAGGGCGCGCTGGCCATTCAAAGTCGTTAATGACGAGGGGAAACCGAAAGTGGAAGTATTATACAAGGGAGAAATGAAGAGATTTACACCAGAAGAAATCAGTTCCATGGTCCTTGTGAAAATGAAGAAAATAGCTGAAACCTATCTCGGTGAGCCCGTCAAAAACGCTGTCATAACTGTGCCTGCGTTTTTCAATAATGCACAGAGGGAGGCCACGAGGGATGCAGGTATAATCGCTGGTCTAAATGTAATGCGAATTATCAATGAGCCAACTGCTGCAGCTCTTGCATATGGACTTGAAAAGAACATTACTGGTGAGAGAAATGTGTTAGTCTATGACTTAGGAGGCGGAACATTTGACGTTTCAATCTTAACCATCGACGAACTATCTGTTTTTGAAGTTCTGTCGACAGACGGAGACACTCATCTTGGAGGTGAAGATTTTGATCACATCATGGTCAACCATTTCATAGAAGAATTCAAGGTAAAACACGGAAAGGATATCACGAGTAACAGTCGGTCTCTCAGACGCCTGAAAACAGCTTGTGAACGCGCTAAGAGGATACTGTCTAGCAGTACAGAAACCTGCATCGAGCTGGACGCTTTTTTTGAGGGCATTGACTTTTACAGCAAAATTTCTCGTGCAACTTTTGAAAAACTTTGCAATGATTTGTTTCTTAGAACCCTTGAACCACTTAAAAGAGCACTGTTGAACGCAAATTTAGAAATATTTCAGATAAATGAAGTTGTTTTAGTTGGGGGGTCAACTAGAATTCCAAAAATCCAAAAAATGCTCCAGGACTTTATGGGGATTGGAATATTAAAAAGATCAGTGAATATAGATGAAGCTGTGGCCTATGGCGCAGCGTGTCAAGCAGCTATTCTTGTTGGAGACAGAGGTGACTTGCTCAGAGACATTGTTCTAGTGGACGTGGCTCCTTATTCCCTGGGCATCGAGACAGCAGGGGGATTTATGGACAAAGTTATACAAAGAAATACCAGAATACCTGCTGCAGCATCAAGGACATTTACAACTTTTTACAACAATCAGCAAGGGGCAATTGTTAAGGTTTTTGAGGGTGAGCGTGCAATGACTCGAGATAATAACTTTGTTGAGAAGTTTGAACTGAAAGGCATTCCTCCAGCATTGTGTGGTGTTCCCCAAATAGAGGTCATTTTTGATATTGATGCTAATGGTATCGTGAATGTGACTGCTAGAGACAAGAAAACAGGCAAATCAAACCAGATCATGGTCTCAAAGAACAAGTTGAGGACATATGAAATTGACAGAATGAAGATCGAGGCCAAGAAGTACCAAGAAGAGGATGAAATCGAACGCCAAAGAGTAGAAATTAGAAACAAAGTAGAGTCCTATTTGATTTTAATTCAAGAAAAAGTTGCAGATGAGCAGCTTCCGTTGGAGGAAAGAAAAGCTGTTTCCCTGGTATGCAGTGACACTTTCCGTTGGTTGGACAATAATGAAAGTGCAGTGTTAATGGAACTAAAACGGAAGTTAATTGAAATCCAAAAACTACCCATCTTTCAAAAACTTCAGAAAAGCACCGAAAAAGAGAGTCAGAAATTTACCAGCGTAGAAATCTATTAGCTATACGCATATAAATAGCATTGTTCGATTTTTCTTGTAAAAAAATAGAACATTTTCAACGTGCGTCGTCACCTCCAAGATAAATAATGCCGAAATCCATATGACTTTATATGTCATGTACTATTTTTCTGCTCCGACGAAATCCGACATGTTTATAAAACTAGTATCTGTCTCTGTCCACTGTAAGATTTTGTAAGATTTTGTCGCAGTGGTTAGAGCGTTTGCTCTAGAGTCGCGATGTAAGGAGTTGACCTTTACATCGCGACTTCGAATCCCACTGTAAGACATGGATATCGCTCCTTCAGTTGAGACTGTATAAACCAAGACCCCGTGTCGCAGTAGGTGTTGGCACGGAAAAGATACCTCACTGCTCAATGGCCGTAAGTGCTGAGCATAGGTCAAAATTTGTAGCTCTCCACCGGCAAGAGGTGGCGTCTCCATATGAGTGAAAAATCCCCGGGATAGAGACGTTAAACAACATAATTATAAACAAAAAAGACAACATTGTAAGATTTTCAATCAATAATTAGATATGATTTTTTGTTTCCATTGTGGTTCTCTCAGACTGTCATGTTACTATTATATCTTTTTACATCCTTTGATTGTCCCTAAGCCTTTTAAAATAGATTTTCTCTGTTTAAAACTTGCACTCAGATTAAATTAAAACTACATCAGCATTTCTTTTAGGACATTTTCGATTTCCTTCATCCTTGTTGTCACACTTTTATATCATTTTACACTAACGTTATTGTAAGCACATTTACATATATTTTTTTTATTTCTATGTCTACATACGTTGCACTATCGACACACTGCTTTGATGTTCATGTGATCACCATTAATTTATTTTCATTATATATTCTACATCGACAGGGGGTATGACGCTCTGTTATGCTGTAAATACGGTCCAATGTATGGAATTAAGCTATGCAATTTTCAAATTTATTTTGAGGTGTTTTTCTTTAATTTATAAATTAACGATATTATTTCATTTAAATAGTCATCATGAAATATGAATAAACTTTTGGTGTTTTATTCGACTGATTTTTTTTTTCAATCAATTATTGTACCACAAATGATATCAACAATGTGTTTTGTTTCATAAAATCAGTGTTGTCGAATCCATGTAAAAATGGGTTTATTGACCTAAAGTCAGCGTTGCTGTGTCCTTAGATAAAAAAGTTCTTTGATAGAACTCAGGTCATTTGTGGGATAAGAGCACTTACAGGTCGGGCATCGATTTCATTTAACACCTTAGACAGAAGTCAGTTTGTAATTTATATAAAAAGATTAAAAATGCCCCTTGACAATATTTTTATTTAAGCTTCTTCAAGCAATATGTGAAAACAATGTGATTCATTTTTTAAAATTAATCTGTGCAATCAATGACAAAAAAAATAAATGAATAAATAAGTTAGTTCATACAGAAGAAATAAATAAATTAATAATGGAGTTTATGAATTTAACACTGAAAATGATATTGACCATTAATCAGACTATAGTGGCATTTTTCAGGATTATCAAATTAAGATATTATTTTACTTCATCAATTCAGTAAATGTAAATTCTTTGCATAATAACTGAACTATATAGCATAGAAACCATAGCCAATAAAAATAATTTTCATTATAGATATTTCATCACTTTAGATATAATGAAAAATTCAATATGCATGCACATAAACAATCGTAATATGGATACTGTGATTTTTTGTTAGTTTAATTAAGTTCAGGCACAAGATGTCATCGACCTGAAGGTTAAAACAAAACATCGGTCAACGACCCAGTGACTTCCAGATCAAACATTTCTCTGACGAAGATTTGCCGAATATATGTATGACCCGGGCATATTTTACAAACTTTCTTTAGTACAATCGTACTTAACACTGACGATGAGTGAACCGACCCAAAGGTTAATGCCCCTCTCACCCTTCTACTTGTAACTAGTATATTTTATATATACAGTGTACATGTATACCATTCATCAGTACTATAAACTCAAACAAAGTATCATTTAATATGTTTAAAACAATTTTATTAATTTTATTAATAACATGTATAAGGATGTTTACCACCTGCCTCCTATTTTTAGAAACAGAATTATGTTAAAAAAAAAACAAAAACAAACGAAAACAACCTCTCACATCAATATATTGATAAAGAACAATGTTGTTGATTTGAGTCAAGGTTAACGCCTTGTTTACCGGGTGATTGAGGCATTTAATCATACAAATTTAAAAAACTCTTTCTTTAGGCATGTTTACAGGTGGCAAAGCAATATTTCGATGGAATTCCCTCTTTTTAAATCATAATGGATTTATTTTTTTAAAATGAAAACAAATTAAAAAGAATATAACTCAATATCAGCAACAGTTTTGTTTTGGCTTACTTGTAATTATATGTCATTTTCCATAGAATAGAAGAGAAGTTAGAAGAAATGAAAATACTTGAGTTGATATACGAAAAGTAAAAAAATCCAACTTAGTGGCAGGTTTCACGTCTTAAATATGTAAAGGACAGGGTCGAACACTGTCCATTCTGTGTAAGCCATTGATTATATAATATGTTGTTCTTACGCTCACAGAATTAACAGTGTTCGTCCTTTCTTTTACATACTAATAAAAATCATGATTTCTTTATCCTGAGAATTAAAATAATAATAATAATAATTAAAAAAACAGGTAGAAAACACATAATAACAAGTTGGACGTTTACAGAATGGATATAGTCAACGATATGCTAGGGATGTACAGCAGTTTTTTAGTAGCCATTGTCTTTCCAGATACAAATAATAAAAGGTCTTTGTGTCACAAAGTTAATTTTACCAAATTTATTTAAAATGTAACAGAATTTTAATTTATAAAAAAGAATTATTTTTAATGCCTGTTTTTAACATATGTCGAAAATTATTTATCAGTCAATTAATGTTAAGACAGTAAAAAGGAATTTGTCACTCAATATTTATTTAAGGAATTAGTGTCAATCCTCTACCTCAAAGTGCGTCCGACTTGTATGTGTGATAATTGCGTATATGTGTTAATTGAAGTTTGAGTGAATCCCGTATGTTGTGTGAGAGAGTTAGTTTTAGATCCGCCGTGGACAATCCCGGACTTGAATACCGGTATTAGATGTACTGGACCTTCCGTGATCAAGAAAATACAGTTTTACTCTGGACTATTCCGAGTTACCAAAACGTTTGTGTGTGTGTCCGTTTGTGAACGTTATAACCTGTCTTTGTTTTATGTGTCTTCACTTGATTTATTTTTCAAAATATAAACTTTTACTTTTTACTGCTTGACTTTCGTTTAATAAATTTTCATCAAAAGTTTACTTGTGTTATTTGTTTGAAAATTGGACAGTTACAGGTGGATTTCGGGGAATGCTAGTATTTTTATAAGAGTGCAACACCTAAAAAAATAGTTTATGATTTGCATTGTTAAAGGCAAACATGTTTCTCTCCGATGGAGAGAATACATTTGTACATGTATATGACAGAAACGAAATCTAATTGAAACCGAAAGATGCACAAAATCACCGATATTTCGATATTTGGACCTGGAAACAGAGAATAGTTAGTGAGACGATCCTCACAACTTTTTCTTCAATAAATCCGAATAATTCAAATCAAATCCGGAAATGGCTTATTTGAATTCAATTTTTGAGGATATAATAATTGCAGTATTGTTATGGTGAAATGAAAATTGTGCTGAAAGTGTTGGATAGCCATGGACCAAACTTTGACCTGAAAATGTATTTCAAATCTAATCTAGGAATGCTTTTTCGAATTTAATTATTTTTAATTATTTTCTACGGAAATATTCATTGAAATGATGTGGTTTACATTGTTCAAACTGTTGTCTTGGTGATGGATTTTAATATAAGCTTACTTCAAGCTTAATTAAAAGTGATTCTTTTTCAGGGAATGATGCTTCCGAAATCTTCAACAAATGTGAAATTGTGTCATTTTAATTTATGTTTTGATGAACATGACAGGCTTGTCTTGGAGCATTATTGAAATGTGTAATGATGGCAGACCTTCTGTGTTGAACAGACAAAAAGAATCGGTAAAAAAGAAGAATACAGTAAAAAAATTACATGAAGTAGCCAATTAGGGCCTGTAGCATTATACCAAACGCGGCGAAACTAATTGATTTTACTTTGAGAAGATTACAGAAAAGTTAGATAAAATAGCAGGAAAGTTCGATGGTATCTCACATAGATGAAGCACCTAGGCCCTATGTCCCACCCAAAAAAGTATTTATGAGTCAAAGATCCGTCAGATAAGATGTAAAAATACTTTTAAAATAACATCAAGAAAAATCTGAGAAGAGGAGCAGTTTAACTCATCTTTACATAACTAAAAATTATTAGCCAGTAGAAAGTGTTGAAAGAGGACAACATTTAGACATCCCTCGACAAGGAAGACTCTGTTCGAGGTACATGTACAACAACAAAGTTGAGGAAAAAAACAATTAATCTCATGTAATAATGTTTATTTGGAACTGATATTTTGAAAAAGTGTTGGTGTAGTTCTTGATACAGAGGATGGATCAACATATTGGAACGGGATATTTTGCGAATTTTCGGAAATCCTAAAGATAAAATGTTCTGAAATAAAATTCCTGGGGTGTCTAATGCTAGAGTCAGTTCAGAAATTTGAGGGAATGTTGAAATTGTAGATCTTAAAACCGAGTTCACGGAGAAGGAAAGTTTATTCTAAAATGAATTTCAACTTGAAGTGTGAAGCAACGTCTGTGTGTGCAATTCACGATCATAGCGATTCACGTACTAAAATACTAGAGATTTCAACCAAGAGAAAGAGAATATTAATACATTGAATAGGAAATATATCTGAAGAACAGAAAGAGAAAGTCAGAAAAGTGTTAGCAACTAGCAAGTACTAAAAAAAAGAGACAAAGATTTAGGAGAAACAAGTTTTGTTGACATAGGAGACGTTCACCCAATAAAACAGATATCATATCCAAAACAATTTACACAGAGAGACTAGATTTTGCATTGATTATAGAAGAGTGAATACAGTCACGGGGGGGGTACCTCTTACCTAGAGTGGTTTAGATGTTGATAGTTTCAGAAAGTACAATGAAGCGCATTGAAGTGGTAAAATTTTCTGTTTGGATGGAACGTTTTGAGCTATCTTTAGACACGCCCATTTCTTTAGAAAGGAAAACTCGGTCAAATGATTCAATCGAATACCTGTAGAACAGGTATTTCATAAATATAACATCCAATGAAATTGACGGTTTACATAACACCGAGTAAGCACGTGTTCGACTGATACATGTGCTATGCTAACTCCAATAAACATGATAAAATCATAATTATGGACAAATTCGTTGCAATGCGTGTTTTATATAAGCGGGAACTCTATACATAGCTCTTTCTTATTTAAAACTCTTAATTTCAATGTAACTAATGTTGCTTGTCGCGGGAAGTGTAGTGTCCTAAAACATTACAGCGGATATTCCTTTCTCGTTTCTAAAGAAATGGGCGTGTCGTTATGTTATAATTGACGTTCAAAACATGACTCAGAACGTTTCGTCCAAATGGAAAATTTTACCACTTCAATGCGCTTCATTGTAAGTTATTTTTTGTTATGAATGAACTAACTTAAGTTAGTACTTACCTTGTCATTGAGTACTTTCAATTTTTTTTTGTTAAAACATTCTGTTTGTTCACACATGTACTCTGAAGTTTTTATGAAAAAGATGTTTGAGTTTCTGATTGACAACAAATATTAATGTGATTTTTGGAGATTAGGCTTTCCAACAATCTATTGGAATTCCCATGGGTACTTATTGCACCCCATTATAAGCAGACCTATTTTTGTATTAAAATAAAGCAGAATTTGTCCAAAAATTATACATGAAAAAAGAAAACACTTGCTGTGGCCTTCATCTCGACATTTAGATATATCGACGACGTATTGTAAATAAAAAATGGTTATTTCCATACTTTTGTCGATACGATATACCCTGGTGAGCTTGAAATAAAAGGTACTAGAGTCTGACAAATCTGTTTCA